GCATATCACGTGAGCTCACACCGTGACACCGGTATTGATCTCACAGCTGCCTTCACTTATGATGCTAAGCTTGCTTTAGCAGTTGGCAAAGTGGTTACACTAGTAACAATGGATGTATAAGATGTTTATAATATATTTCTTAAAAGACGGCTCCTATAACGTATAAAGAAATAAGGTTGGCCTATAGCGTTCTTGCGATTTGTTGATTTATTTCTGACTAGGAAACGTGTGCGTATAAGGCTTGAGGAGATTACAACACAGGATTTCCTGGTTGCATGTGGTACCTTTTAGGGATCGCTACTCTCCCCTATTCTATATACCCTCTACCTTGTTGAGCTTTTCAATCAAGATAGAGCATAGTGTTTCGGATATGCTGATAATATAGTTATATATTATATATCTAAGGATCTATTTACGAATATATATATGCTCTGCCGAACCGTTTGATGTATTTTATAATGAGAAGATTAGAATAAAGTCTTTTTCGCTTTGAAAAAGTTTGAGCTATTTTATATATTAAGGAAATATGAAATTACAAATCTGATTATAAAGATAAATTAGGATTTAGTTATTATGCTAATCTCTTTAGAGTTCACTAATAGAGTATAATTAATCTTATACTAACTTGACATCTTTTTGATCGGTATCTAACGTTTCTATAATATATCAAAACGCGTATCGCGAAAACTATATATATTGTATCCTATATCTAATCAATAGCTCATATAGCCTACGGACTATCTGCAGCCTGTTTGCGAAAAGCGATTATTATTTGTATACTTCCTGTCGCTCTCTTCGGCTTCGAAGTATGGTTTGATGGGCTATATAAACAATGCCCAAATACAGGCTATATTCCAGTTAGTATTGGGATCAAGAAATACATCGATCTAGTCAGCAAGATGATTCATAATGCGGTATAGGGAGCTTTATCTGTTTATAAAACAACTCCAATAACTGCATTTCTTATAGAAACTAATCTCCCAGCTGGAATTATTGTATTAGAGTAAGCTAGACTGAGGTTTATGTTTTGGCTTTAGACAGTGGATATATAATACCTATTTGTAAACTGATTGAAGTTGTGTATTAGAAAGAAAGGATGAGATACAAGTACTCTGAAAGATCCCAATACAAAACTGTAAAGAATAGAATAAGCGATCTCTATTATCGAGCGCTTCAGACTCTTATAGCCTCACTTCTCTTCTGAGTACTATATTGATTTAACAAATAATATGGATAAAGAGAATGCTATGAAAATATTTAAGGAATGATAAGATTTAATCCTTTAAGAAAACTACTCTGTATTTTCAGATAGATCTGAATAATACAACAAATACAATTACTGTATAGGATATAGCTTTATAATTTATTATAGTAAGTAATAAATCAATAGCAATTATAATTGTATATATAACAGTTACATATTTTTGATACTGAGGTAATCAGCATATAATAGGGATTAAAATACCTTCTGAATATTATTGATTGCCCCTATTAGGAACAAATATAATTATATATTAATAGTATTTCAGTAATCTGGGAAATACGAGAAAATGCCACTATCTTCTTTTAATAAATATATTATAAATATTATTAAGTAATATAATACTATAATATTGTAATCAAGTAATCCTTTAAATATATTGAAATTAAAAGCAATGAGGCAGTTAATTGTTTCATTAATCAGAATACAGTTAGATCACTTGACCCTGATTTATTCTACCTCTCTATAGTTAGTAGTTTTCGCTTTATTCTATATACTAAATATCGGTGTTCCGAGAGTAAATGGTAAAAGGAAAAAAAAGGCCTGATCTCCGAAATATACAATATATGGAAACCGATATATAATATCTTAGAACCGGAAAGCCTCAAGCTTTCTTATAGGATACTATACAGACTTATAGTAATGCAAATCAGATATAATGACTTTGTAGTCTATTATATTAAATTCAATTACAAAAATAGTATAAATATCTATATATATAGGATTGAGAAAAGCCCACTACATTTCTTTCAATATTCAATCAATAATCAGATGCATGGTAATTGATTACTTATACCAAATCGATTTTAATTTGAATAGGATGTGATAGCATATGTCAACCGTGTTCTGCGAATATAATATAGCTTTACTAACCTTCTCGCTAAATCCAGATTCTATATTAAAATATACTCAAACTATACAAAATTATACGAATTCCAATCTACTCCAATACTCTAAGGATAAACTCTCTATCCCGATCAATCTAAGACCCGCACCGAATAGTTATAAGCGTTCTAAGTACTCTTCTAATCGATAGTAATCAATCTAATTATCTATTGATATTTAAATAGTATACAAAACAAGGCCCTTTAAAATAAAACCATAAACCCTTAGACAAAACAATCACAGGATCACTATAAGCAATACTGAACAGGGGAATACCAGAGGCAACAAGCCCCTGTTTAGCTAACATTACACTACTATAAGCGGCTGGAACGCTAGCGGCCCATAGGCCCGCTCCTTAGTACATCTAGAATACCCCTTGGGAGGTCAGATATTAGACGTTAATCACTATAAATAAATAAATAAATAAATTGTATCAATATAGGGAGAGGGAGAAGGGGCTTATATTATTAGATTAAATAGGAGTAGATTATACATTATTAATTCGTAAAATAGAAACAAAACGCTTTATAATATCGTCTTCGAAAGTATAAATATCACAAGCTATAAGTGTTGAATAGGATGGGTATATAATACAGGCAACTCAATGGGATACCGGAAAAGAATAGATTTTTTATATCTTTTTTCCTATTTACTTTATTCAATTAGATACAGATATAGGCGTATCGCATGGTCTTAGTATAGCTATATAGACCGAATCGATTATGAATTTACTACTACTACTACTAATATTGTGTGAACAAGGGAATTCACTTCAAAAGAATGACTTCAATATAATGGCTACTGTATCAAAGGTATTTAGGCGAATGCGAAGGAGACTAGCTCTTTCAGTAGTGTCTATATAAGGCCTACTATTTCCCCTCATTAGCTAGCTCTTTAGATTGAATACAAATAGACATTTTAGGGGCCTACTGATAGTGGGAACCACGTCTTCCGTATCTCTCTCGAACCAATACTTCTTTACTTAATCTTGCCTGAAAAGATTATTAATCACTCTATACTATAATCCTATTAAATTTTTTTATTTATTTGAAAAACTATATTATAAACCCTCTAAAAACTAAATATAAAACACATAAAAACTAATTATAAAGATTAACAAATAATACTTAATCATGTTTGCATTATATCAAAATATATAATACTTAATCAAAAATACAGCTTAAACATTATATCTCAATTGTATATTATATAGAATAGAGATATTGTAAAAGCATTATTCAGTATTTCCACTATATTATTAAGATATATTTTTGATTTGTACTATATAACTTTAACTATTTCGCTAAGTATGTTAGATATTCTATTATTAATCGTGCTAAGAGTTTACTTGAAAGTTGATATATGAATAAGAGTTGTATTGTGATTGATGAACCTCTTCAAAATCTGATATACATTGATAATATCTATAAGAGTGTAGAATATATTTGTAAATGAACTTAGAAAATTTCAACTATATTTGCCAACCAGGTGGTCTGTATAAAGCAAAGCATCATTTGTATATAAGAACATTGATGGACAAACTTCTTAGTGCCTCTGGAAAGAGACAACGGCGGGGCTATTTCCAGTACCATTAGAGGATGTCGTGTGAGATTTCAGAGATAGAGAAACGACAGCATCAGTTGCTGTTACAGACTGACTGCCCCCGAAACACGCCCCGTTGAAAATCCCAATAAATCTAGCCTTCTAGTCTTGTAAATGTATTATACACCCGGGATAATCGCTGGCTCTGGACAACAAAAATAAACGAAGTTTCCTATCCTTCTGCTTCGTCCGCAAAGCTTTACTGCAGAAGACTACAGAGACTTGCAGCGATCACTATACAGGCTTCAACTCGACCAAATTTTGTGACAATCTCAAATACATCTTGCCAAGTTGAGCCAAAATGGACGAGGTCGAACATTCAGTCGTTTGTTTTAGGTCTCATCCAGACTGAGACCCGGAAGACTTCTCTCGGATCCATAGCAGTCCATGTGCTCACAAACCTCACACCTGTACAATGTTGCCATTTCCCTCAACGATTACAAGGTAATTGGTATTTCTAAGAGTGGCTCAATCACAAAGCCCACGGCCTGTGTAACTCTAAGACCACGAATCAACAGATATAAAGCTATTACTGCTGTTCGTTGGTAAATATAGCTGACCAGGTAAGTAGCTTGGGAATGCATGCGAGCATTCAATACCAAGAGGATACAATGAATCGACACATTTCACAAAACACCCCATGAGGGACAAAATCTAACCTATAGGTGAGATCACGCAAAAGGTACCTGGAGATGATGATATTGAAGAGGGGAGCAACAGTGGAAGAAACTGCACGGAAGAACTTCGACTATGCAACTCTTTTTCCTTTGTTCATGGGAGGTAGGGGGCATGTGTTTGTCTTTCAAACATGTAATGACTTTTACCAACATACAAGTCTCGCGTGATATTTAAACGGGATTATTAGACTTATCACTTCATAGTATTTCGAATGTTTCAGATAGGATCTAGGAGTATCTTCTTTCAACCCCAAATTCATTCACTGAAGCATATGTTCAGTTGTTGCTCAACCCTCCGTACCTTCTATACCTCGTCAATCACCATGCTAGATCAATACAATCACCCATCTAGATAGGTTTATCGACAGAGTATGGACATCAAGGATAAAGATCAAATCATCATTGAGCACTGGGATAGGATAGTACATGTTGCTGTTCGCACATAATTTCCCTTCCCGGTCCGGAGCGCAGGTATAATCAACTAGATCATGTGACCAGCAATCAAAGTGCATAGACATCTTGAAATTACAAAACAGATTGCAACCAAAAATCCAGAGCGATACATATGGCCATCGATGACGTCTGTGGAACCCAATAAAGAGAAGCCAGCAAGCAAATCTCTTTTTTCAACATCAGCTGGTGGAGCATCTCTCTTGATTGCATTGCAAGCCGGGTCTCGAGCGCTGACATTCGTCGTGAACCAGATACTTCTCCGGTATCTCTCACCCGAACTCCTTGCTGTATCAACACAACTTGAAGTTTACTCCATCACTGTACTTTTCTTCTCCAGAGAAAGTCTGCGTGTCGCCATACAGCGCCAGACCGACACGAGCGATGATGACTCTAAAGCCAAACAGGACAGCAATCTGTCCACAAAGGACAGATATTTGGATAGCCGAACGACTGCTGGTAAAAGCCAAGCAATCGTGAATCTGTCTTACATCTCTATTGCTCTCGGACTGGCATCTACGGTGCTGTTTGGTTGGATCTATGCCAATGCTGGGCAAACTGGCGTGGTTGAAACGCCTTATTTTCAACAATCTTTAAAATTATATGGTGTGGCTGCAATTCTAGAATTGTTGGCTGAGCCATGTTTCGTCATCGCGCAACAAAAATCGGCCTTCAAAGTTCGAGCTGCTGCGGAATCGATAGCAACAGTTTTGAGATGCATTGTTACTTGCGCTGTTGCAGTTTGGGCTGCGCATCATCAGATAGAGTTGGGTGTACTGCCATTTGCCATTGGTCAGGGGGCATATGCTATTGCGATGCTACTGGTGTACTTATTGGGCGTCTGGAACATGCATCACGGGGCGGATTCTCATTAATGATCAAGCCTATTTTACAGGTATTCCAAACACCTTGACATGGTACAATTTACGAGCTAATCAATGGTAGTAAGAAAAGGAGTATATCTACTCTTACCTCTCCAAACCACTCTTGTCTTTGGGAGGCAGTTTGATGATACAATCAATGGTAAAGCATGTCTTGACACAAGGCGACACGTTTCTTATAGCATCTATGGCCACCCAAACAGCCCAAGGTATCTATGCACTAGCGAGCAACTATGGTGGCCTGATTGCTCGACTAGTCTTACAGCCAATCGAGGAAATGTCCAGAAACTATTTTGGGAAGCTCCTCTCTGTCGTTGACGGAAAGCCAACCAAGGGAGCTGCCGAGAAAGCCAGCACAGACTTGCACAGGCTTCTACGTATATATCTTATACTGTCAGTTGCCATAGTTGCCGTAGGTCCAACTATCGCCCCGCTTCTATTGAACTTCATTGCTGGCCCACGATGGCAGTCGTCTGGAGCTGGCAATGTTCTTGCAGTGTATTGCTACTACATACCATTACTTGCACTAAATGGAGTGTGCGAGGCTTTTGTAGCCGTTGTTGCAACCGAAGCCGAAGTTAATAGGCAATCTTTGTGGATGTCTGCTTTCTCTGCCGGCTTTGGTGGTGCCGCTTATCTGTTTTTAGGAATTTTGGATCTCGGGGCCGAAGGTCTAGTACTGGCAAATATGGCTAACATGCTCTTACGGATCATATGGTGCGGTCGTTTTATTCTGACCTACTGCAGGCGCTATGGCGCTAAATTCACAGTTAAGGACTTGTTACCACGACCGAGCACAATCTCACTTGGGGTTGTTACATATGCCGCACTTGCTCAAATGAGAACGTCATTCACGGGTGGTTTAGTGGACATTATCAAGAGTGGTTTGGTGGCAATAATTTTTGTGATTCTCCTGTAAGTTCTCAGCTGTAACGCCGATCTATAAACTACTAACCATTACGCCTTGATAGAGCCACGAGCGAGAAAGGATATCTCCTCGAATGTTACCATGCAATTAAAGGCTGAATTTAAATTCTCCCAGCAAATTATCCTATAACCCTAACTTATTGCATCTTAATCAAATGTTATCTTTGTTGCTTTTTTGGTAGTGTCCACATTCTTGAAAAATGCACCATAAGCATCGTGAGCCTTCTTCTTGACCGTAGTACCAAACTTCAACAATTCGTCGGGGACTGGTTGATTAGCTGCCTTGAGGACGTTGATCAAACTAGATCGACTATTAGTAGATGATAGATCAAAATTCGGGTGTTTTACTTACGCGCCAGACTGAGCCTTGTCATGCTCAGTGAACAATGTAATTGCCAGTCCATCTTTGCCAGCTCTACCTGTTCGACCAATGCGGTGCACATAGTCTTCCACTGTAAGAGGGAACGTGCAGTTGATGACTAACTTGACAGCAGGAATATCCAGACCTCGAGCTGCGACATCTGTAGCAACCAGAATTGGGGTGTTACCACTCTTGAAAGCCTCCAAACTTCTCGTTCTTTGTTCCTGACTCAAATCACCATGGATACCAGCAACTCGGAAGCCCTTCTGTCTAATGAAACTCTCTACTCTAGTAGCTTCCTTTTTGTACAAACAAAAGACCAGGATTCGGTCATCCTTTTGACTGCCACTTTGATATTGCTTTAATAGTTGCATAAGTCTGTATTCCTTGTCCCTTGGTTCCACGACCTCAACCTTCTGAACGATGCGCGAGTTGGCTCGCAAATCTCCTGTGGGATTGTCACCAATTGCAATCTTCACCGGGCTGGTCATGAATGTGGCAGCTAATTCGCGAACAGACTCGGGCCAAGTCGCCGTGAACATGAGTGTCTGTCTCTTTCCAAGAGAGGGAGTAGTGTTGATAATCTTTCTGATCTCTTCCTCAAACCCTTTATCCAGCATACGATCAGCTTCGTCAAGAACGACATATCGGGCCTTGCTCAAATCTGCACATCCTTGGTTGATGAGATCGTTGAGACGACCGGGGGTAGCGACAACGATGTCCGCAGTTTTCAATGCTCTGATCTGCTCATCCTTGGGAACACCACCATACACACAGACACACAAAAGACCAGATGCCTTGGCAAGTTTTACAATCTGCTCATAACTCTGCATCGCCAATTCTCGAGTCGGCGACACGACAACGGCCCTAGGACCTTTGTTTATCTGGTTCTTAGGCAAGGATGACATATAACGCACGCAAGGAACAGCGAATGCCATGGTTTTTCCCGAACCAGTCTCGGCGACACCAATTACATCGCGACCAGCGAGCAAGAACGGCCATGCGGCGGCTTGAATAGGTGTTGGAGCCTTGAAGTCCTTGAATGGAGCTCGTTGAGCAGGATCGGTGATCGGTAGGTAATCGAAATTTGTCAGCGGTCTTAGAGTAGCTGAAGTAGATAATGGGTCGGTGATAGTGATGAAGTTTGTGGTCAAGAAGGAGTCTATTTCGCTTTGTGGCAAGCCGCTCAGATTAGGATCTTCCGTGTACGTTGTTCCATTTTGTTGCGGAGTAACGCTTGCAGGTGCTGTAGTTTCAATAGACTTGGTGCTGTCAGCCTTCTCTTCTTTTCCTTCCTTCTTCAATGCCTTCAATCGTGCCTTTTCTGCCTTTTTAGCAGCTTTCGCATCTGCAGCAGTATTGGCATCCGACGCAGGCTCAATTGCTTCAACTCCCGATTTTTCTTCTTCTTCTGTCTCCTTTTCTGCCTCTTGAGCTTTCTTCTCCTTCTTAAGTCGTTTTCTTTCTCTGCGAGCCTCTTTCGATTCTACCTCAACCTCGATTGGGGTGGATTCTGTGGCTGGCTCTTCGACATCCTTGGATTTCTTTTCCTTCTTTTCCTTCTTTTCCTTCTTTTCCTTCTTTTCCTTCTTTTCTTTGCGACTTTTCTTGGAGGAGATCTTGATGTCGTTATCCCCAGAATTTAATTCTGTATCTTCTATTGTACGTTTCGGCATGATTGAGATTTGTAATTGTGGTTGATTTACACAGTCAAATATATTTTTCGAAAAAGCTGCAGATGGCTAGATGCTACCCTGCAGAAAAAAATTATTTAGTTCCTGACAAATGATAAGATAAAGACACCTTCACACGCTTTGCCGATTCGCGGCTTAACTTTTTTTTCGAGATTTAATTTGACGAATCAAAGCATTTCAGAATATCTTGACATTTCTCTCTTCATTATTACTTACACCCAAATCAATTTTGAATGCCATGGTCGTCCACTCTATAAGATTCGGCTGCTATGGCCATTTGCAATCGTGAATTGATTTCCTATTCAACTTATGTCGAATCCCACATCTGGTAATCCTTCGTGGATCTTGTAGACACCCTTCCCTGTCTTGCATATTGTATGGAATTAGCTAGACACATCATGTCTTAATATATAATGTAGTACATATCAGTAATGAAATCAATCACTGTTTCGATCATTGTTTATGGTGATTGCTAAGTGTAACTACTGGTATCTTATGCTTCATTTTAACTGAGATGTTGTATCTAGCTGTGTGAGTGGGAAAAAACTAAACCTCCCCTAAACAATCCGGCTAATACCCAAATTTGGTGTTGGATCAAGACAAGGTCAACGAGACCAATCTCCTCTGCCCGCTCTGATCTTTCCCGACTTCAACAGCCTGGCATCCGATCACCGATCCATCCTTTACCAGATCAAACAAGTACACCTTTCAATCATAATACACGTGGAAAGAAAAACCTTCATGTCCTAAATGCGCCTACTATCGATTTTTCTTTAAACTGTTGCTGTCTGAGACTGTGCGGGTTCCATCACTGCGTCCACGTCAATCTTTGGCATGGATGCACCAGTACCTCCGAGGTTCGTAGATTGAGACTTGGGGTTCTTGGTGTAGTAATTTGAGATAGCAGATTTGATGGCATCCTCGGCAAGCATAGAGCAATGGACTGAGGCAGTGTTAGTATGTGCAACTAGGTAAATGCAAAGTGCATAGACTTACGCTTCACAGGTGGAAGACAGAGCTCCTTTGCAATTTCTGTATTTCTCACTCGACCTGCCTCCTCAAGTGTCATTCCTCGAACCAATTCTGTCAAGTATGAAGAAGAAGCAATGGCCGAACCGCAACCAAACGTCTTAAACTTCACATCGGAAATAGTATTCGTATCTGGATCCACTCTGATTTGCAACTTCATGACATCGCCACATGCTGGTGCGCCGACCAAACCAGTCCCTACATCGGTATCCGTTTTTGACATACTGCCAACATTTCTCGGCCGCGAATAATGATCGAGGACCTTTTCATGATATGACCTGCGACCAGTAACGAAAGATGGCGATGCAATTTGGGCTGGTAGAGGTCTGATAGCGGAGTGGCTGTTTGCCGATAACACTCTGCCGGCAACGCGGGGTGCATTTGACAAAGCTCTTCGAAACATTTTTTGTGATGTGTAATGGAGTGGCGATCGGATAGGTAGGAAGATTTAGTTCGTATCAATCAAAGATTTGATGATATGATGATATATGAATCAGGTAGAGTATTGAAGTTGATGAGATTTAATGTTGGGGAGGTTAGGTAGGTCGTATGATTTGATTATTACTGTATTGCAGATGAAGGAGGTAGGTTGTGATGGTGTTTGGTGTTTTTGACTTGTATAAAGTTGGGGTAGATCTGATAATAAATTGACGGGATTTTCAAGAGGTCATCAAAGAAATAAAGAAATATAAGTGGGAGCAAGGATCTAGAGGAAAGCGGGATTCGCGGAGCTCGGAGTCTCACAGAAGATCCCAATGAGGCTTAGCTCGTGTGTCCAACTACCCGAGCCACCGTTATCAAGCTTAATGCTGCTTATCTCAAGCGGTTTTATGTCATAAGGACGGATATAAGGTAGACATGCACCAATCAATGGGTGATGATGATGATTAGCACACCAACCATTGTTCGCAACGATGGAAAAAGACCGATGGATGCCGACGGAGATAAGATCGATTCAAATCAATGGACCGACCAATGAACTGTCACCAGCCTCTGTGCGAAAACCGGACGCCGGTCAAATGAAGTGAATGACAAATTCTCTTTCTCTCCTTCTCCCATGTAAAATAAAGTAAGTGGTGGCGAGATGCAAGAGATATGGACCGTCTACTTTACACACTCTACACATCGAGATCGAGAGACTACCTAGTACCTAGTAGTGGATTAGACTTGTTGGACCAATGGTAGACTGAAGGGCCACTCCCGTGATACCGCGATGCTCTTTACCCCTCAGTTTGCTTTGATCTACCGCCATCCGTGTAGTCCTCGCCTACCAGACCTACCCAGACTCGCCAGAATAATCTTTACGCGTTGACCGTACGAGCATACCTGAAGCTTCTCTTCCTTGATCTATCGTATGCACTTACTTGCCTATTACCCCACCAAACCACGAAATATCCCACCCCACCCCACCATCCAACCACCACATTCCCGCTTTCCCATTTGGTTAAATCTGACCAGCCTCAGCCTGCCTTGAGACTCCCTACCGGTCTAATACCTAGTACCACGTACCTAGTATCATCTACTACTAGACACTGCCGCTACTTAATCTGCTTAACATTCTAGCAACATCAACACCTACCTCTCAAGGTAATCAATTCCTTACCACTTACATAACACAGCAATCTAAAATTGCGGGCAACATTACAAGATACCCTAGACAAAAAATGTCTTGTAAGCATATTGACGCAGCTGGTAAGTTCCTTACAACCTCTTGACCACTAACCCGGTGTCAAAACTGATGCCTCCTCAGAGCTGCGTCCCCCAGGACCAAGCCAAGCGGTCTATCGCGAAGATTGTACACAATGTTTTGATTCCATAGTAAGCTTCATTATTTGTTTGTGGCAATTGCCTATCTTTATCTTGAAAACTTTTCCGATGGCAAAGCACGACTGACCTTAATTCTAATCTAGGATGACTCTACTGGTTTGGATGTTTGTCTGTTTTGCTTCAATGGCGGCTGTACTGGCGATAGGAACCATTCCAAACTCCATCATACCATCAAAAATCATCCTTTG